GGGAATGGTGAATGGGCGGATCTAGTATGGAAGCTTCTGGAACGTTCTCGAAGGTTCCTAGAGGGGCGTGGCCAGAGGCGGGGCTTAGCCTCAGAGAAGAGATGAGAATCAGAATCAGAAATCAGAAACGGTTTTAATCGCCATGTAAGTTTGCACAGACAAGGAATTCACTATGGCGGGACAGTGCATACATTTGTAATGCGGGCGTAAACGACCTCCCGGAAGTGACGTCATGGGGGAGGAGTTACGTCACGTGGGGGGAGAGGGTTCAGGTCTATAAGGGGAGAAACCGGAAGAGGAAGGGGAGTGATCGGAGACTGGGAAAGGGTGAGGCCACGCAGGGCGGAGAGTGAGAGAGAGAGAGTGGCGAGATCGCCACATACACGGACTCCGAGGTTCGGCACTGTCGGCCAATGGTGACCGACCCCGGGGCCAAGGAGCAGCGAGGAGGCTGCAGTCAGCAGCAGGTCTGCAAAAGGGGAGTTGGGCAGCGGGGGTCTGCACGAGGCGTTCAGCAGCGGGTCTGCTAGGGGAGAAAGTGGGCTACGTGAGCGACAGCAGCCTAGGGCTGCCGAACCAAGAGTATCTGGGGAGGTGCCGTGAGGGAAAAGTATAAGAACCCAAATAAAGGACACGGAGACAGCGAGAGCGTCCGAGTTCTTTATTACACATTGAACAAGTAGGAATCTTAACTTATATAAAAGGTATACACTCTAACTATACTAACGTTACAAAGTATAAGTAATACTAAAGGGCTAAAATCTTTAAAATTATGAATAAGTAGACCTTATACAATGCGAAATGTAAAATGTTAATTAGCCGTATTAAACAATCTTAAAATACAAAAATACAAATAAGATTACACGTTGTAAGTATGGAAAGGTGTAATTATGTAGATAAAATGTTATAGTAAGTGTAACAGTCATTTTAAGTGTAAAAGTCATTTTAAGCCCTTGGCCTTGTTGAGGAGGCCAACAGCGGATGGGAAAAAACTGTTTTTATGACGTGAGGTTTTGGTCTTGATGGACCGCAGCCTTCTGCCGGAGGGGAGTAGCTGGAACAGAGAGTATCCAGGGTGCGAGGAATCGTCCGCAATCTTCCTCGCTCGCATCAGGGTCCTCAAAGTGTGCAGGTCCTCAAGGGTTGGTAGATTACAGCCAATCACCTTCTCAGCAGTGCGGGTGATACGCTGCAGTTTGCTCTTGTCCTTGGCAGTGGCAGCAGCGTACCAGACGGTGATGGAGGAGGTGAGGATGGACTCAATGATGGCTGTATAGAAGCACACCATCATTGTCTTTGGCAGATTAAATTTCTTCAGCTGCCGTAGGAAGTACATTCTCTGTTGAGCTCTCTTGATAAGGGAGCTGATGTTCAGTTCCCACTTGAGGTCCTGGGAAAGAATAGTGCCCAGGAAGCGGAAGGACTCAACATTGGTGACTGGGGAGTCGCACAGGGTGATGGGGTGAGTGGGGCTGTATTCTTCCTGAAGTCCACAACCATCTCCACAGTCTTAAGAGCATTAAGCTCCAGGTTGTTCTGGCTACACCAGGTCACCAGGTTGTCAGCTTCCCTCCTATAGTCAGACTCATCCCCATTAGAGATTAGCCCAATGAGGGTGGTGTCGTCAGAAAACTTCAAGAGTTCGACGGACTGGTGACTGGAGGTGCAGCTGTTGGTGTACAGGGTGAATAGCAGAGGGGAAAGGACGCAGCCCTGAGGAGATCCGGTGCTGATTGACCTGGAGGCAGAAACTTGTGATCCCAGTTTGACACACTGCTTCCTGTCAGACAGGAAGTCTGTGATCCATCTGCAGGTGGAGTCTGGCACGTTCAGCAGGGAGAGCTTGTCTTGAAGCAGGCTAGGAATGATGGTGTTAAAAGCCGAGCTAAAGTCCACAAACAGGATCCTGGCGTAGGATGCTGTGGAGTCCAGATGCTGTAGGGTGAAGTGGAGGGCCATGTTAACTGCGTCATCCACAGACCTGTTGGCTCTTTAGGCAAACTGAAGGGGGTCCAGTGGAGGGTCTGTGATGGCTTTGAGGTGTGCCAGGACCAGGCGCTCAAAAGACTTCATTACCACGGAGGTAAGGGCGATGGGTCTGTAATCATTTAATCATGTTGGCCTTGGCTTTTTGGGCACTGGAATGATGATGGAGGACTTGAGACAGGCTGGTACATGACATGTCTCCATGGAGTTGGTAAAGATGTTGGTGAACACTGGAGACAGCTGGTCTGCGCAGTGCCTGAGGGTGGCTGGAGAGACAGAGTCCGGCCCAGCTGCTTTGTGTGGGTTCTGCCTCTTGAAAAGTTTTTTAACTTCTCCCTCCTGAATGGAGATAGTTGTCTCTGTAGTGGGAGGCGGGATAGGGGCCTCTTGGGTGGGAAGGGGTAGTTCAGGACAGTCCAATTGTCTTTCAAATCTGCAGTAGAACTCGTTCAGGTCGTTGGCTAGGCGGGAGTCGTTAGTGGTGTGGGGGGCTCTGGGCTTGTAGTTGGTGATCTGCCTGAGCCCTCTCCAGACAGAAGCAGAGTCGTTAGCAGAGAACTGGTGTTTTAGTCTCTCTGAGTACAATCGTTTAGCCTCTCTCACCGCCTTGCTAAACCTGTTCTTCAATTCCTTGAATCTGTCTCTATCCCCACTCCTAAACGCTTCCTCCTTCTCCAACCTCAACCTTCTGAGCTTTGCTGAGAACCAGGGCTTGTTGTTGTTGAAGTTCACCCTGGTGCGTGTTGGAATACAGCAGTCCTCACAGAAGCTGATGTACGACGTCACAGCCTCTGTGAGTTCATTCAGACTATTGGTAGCAGTCGTGAACATATCCCAGTCAGTACAGTCCAAGCACGCCCGCAATTCCTCTATAGCCTCACTAGTCCACTGTTTAAATGTCCTCACAGCAGGTTTACAGAGAATATAAGCAGGGGGTACAGCAACGTTACGGGTTAGTGGTTGAAGATTGAAGAGGAGCTCCCTGTCGCTGCTTCCCCGCCATCTTCACCTGCCATGTGGCGGCTGGACCTCCAGCTGCTCAGCCGCTCAGCTGCTCCCCAGCGCGCCGCCAGCGGGTTGAGCGCCACGTGGTGTGGGGCAGCGCAGCCACAAGAGCGGGTTGGCATCCGCGAGAACGAAAGGAAGAGGTGGCTGTACCAAAATTTGAAAAAAGAATACAGAAGTTACTTACCATGTCGGAGCCACTTATTACAAATGGACCAGCTCCTTTTCACAGATATTTGAGGGGTCATGGGAGTATACTTCTCCAGTCTACCTTTGCTTTGTAGACTTGGAGAAAGCATATGACCGTGTTCCCTGTAATATCTTGTGGGCGGTGCTGCTTTTGTGTAGTATCCGGTCCCTCTATTCCCGGAGTGAGAGCTGTATCCGTATTCTTGGAGTTAAATTAAGGTCGTTCGCTGTGGGTGTTGGACTCTGCCAAGGGTGCATCTTGTCTATACTCCTTTTTGTGATCTTCATGGACAGGATATCAAGGCACAGCCGAGGTATGGAGATATCCAGTATGGGGGCATGGAGGTGGCATTGCTGCTTTTTGCAGATGATGTTGTCCTCTTTGCCTCATCAGTCTGTGATCTCCAGCATGCAATTGAATGGTTTGATGCTGCGTGTGAAGCAGCTGGGGTGAGGATCAGCACCTCCAAATATGAGGTCATGGTTCACTCCCGGGAGATGTTGGATTGTTTTCTTTTGATGAGGGAGGGAAAGCTGCCCATTGTGAAGAAGTTTAAGTACCTCGGGGTTTCTTTCCCAAGTGATGGTAAGTGGGAGCAGGAGATCGGCCGGTGGATCAGTGCAGCGACCGCAGTGTTGCAGGCACTATATTGTTCCATGGTAGTGAAGTGGGAGGTGAGTTCTCAAACAAAGCTCTTGCTTTACAGGTCAATCTACGTTCCCAACCTTCACCTATTGTCATGAGCTTTGGGTGATGACCGAAAGGATGAGATCGCGGGTACAAGGAACCAAAATGAAGTTTCTCCGCAGGGTTGCCGGGCTCTCTCTTCGTGCGTGAGCAGCTCGGTAATCTGAGAAAGCCTCAGAGTGGGACTGCTGCTCCTCCGAATCGAGAGGAGCCAGTTGAGGTGGTTTGGGCACCTGGTAAGGATGCCCCTTGGTTGACTGCTCCTTGAACTCTCCTGGGAACGTTCCACTGGGCGAAGACTCCAGGGTCGACCCAGGACACGCTGGTGGGTCTATATCACTCGGCTGGCCTGGGAACGCCTAGAAATTTCCCAGGAAGTGCTAGAGTCTGTCACCAGGGAAAGGGAGGTCTTGTCCGCCCTACTCAGCATTTTGCCGTTGCGACCCTCCCCAGGACAAGTGGATTGAGAAACGAAAGAATTAACAAACTCATGCATGCAACAATGCAAACAAGCTCATAGCAATATCGTTGAAGACATATCAAAAGTAGATTAAATTACGTAATTATCTGAACCATTAAAATTTACTACATCACTAATACATCATGATTCGTGCATATTCAATTTAAACATTTTTTTTATATAATCATTGGCTCTACGTTGTGTCTGCTTTAGAGGTAGGTGCGTGTCATGAGAGCAAAATTGTTTTCTGGCATTCCTTGCACTCTCTTTAAGCCCCATCTCTTGTGTTAATTCCAGCATTCAACAGCCGATTTCCTATTGTATTTTATCATCATCTTCACTCGTTTAATGTCTAGTTCATAATTCAATACAATACAATCGTTGCTCCATACTGCTTTATTTTATCTAACCCATTGCAAGTCATTCGAGTTATCCTGATAAGTGCCTTGAAGTCTCATGAGAGATAAAAAAATTTATACATAAAACGTTGCATTAAAAGAAAATTACATTTCAATCACCCATAACTATAATAATGCAATATCCTGCACAGTTATTACACACTGACTCAAGCCCAACAAAGTTCCCTTGAAGACATGGAGTTATCCTCAAGGAGAAATGCACAGACTCCACTCAGGGTGGAGGTCAAAGGGCCACAGAGGCCACGTGTGGTACCTGCACGTCCTTGCGAGTGGCCTTCATCTGTCCCAAGGATGCCTCCGCCTTTTTCCTCTCCTCCTCCACCACTCGCATCTCCTCATCGACTCCACTCTGCAAGAGACAAAGTCACCAGAGGAGACTCCAATCCATCCGGAGCCCTCCACAGTGACAGCTCTGAATTGCCCACCAGAAGCGTGGTGAGGAATTCAGCCTGGACTGATTGAAAATGTCTAATAGGCAAGGGACCTGTGGATAGAGAATCAACCCACGGTGATGTTTGTTGTATGAGATGTTTCTATGATTCCCAGGTGACCGTTTTTTTATCAGCTAATGTAGAGGTATCAGAACGAGTATATGTATTTATACTGGAGGAATCTTATGTGCAATAATGCTCTTTTTCACAAATGTCCAGTTGGGGTGGGTAAGAACGTTACAACAAACTATACAAAAACATTATATTAGTGTAGTATGCTCAAACAGAGATTCAGACGTACTCTTTGGAGGCAACACATTTATTTAACACCAACACTGGTTAACACTATACATATATGGTGGTGACCACCAGGCTAGCTACACTAATCATACAATAACTAGCTACAATGGACCGGACCACAGCTTGGGTCCAGGTCCACGTGTTGGAGACTCTTCTCGACGTAGGATGTAGAACGTAGGTTTCTTCAGGATAACAATAGCAGCCGGTCCCACTGGGGGCCCAGCTTATATCCTCCGTGGCGGGGTTCGCTCCGCCCCTAGCCACGACCTCGAATCCTCGAGGAGGATCTCCACCTGGACACGTGATCTCCCCAGCCCCCCTTTGGGGGTCCCCGGGTAGACACCTCCGGTCACGTGTCCTCCATGGCCGGCACCCTCGCACCCTATCCTGTAGGGGCTGGCACTGCACGCAGAGCGTGGTGCCATCCATTGCTGTCAGTCAGTGCTCACCGAGCCCCGCTAGGGCCGGTACTGCATCCACCTTCAGTGGTGTCTGCGATGTCAAGACATCTCGCGCCGTGCCTCTCCCAGGCCGGCTTCACACAGTGATATAAAACGATGGCACTACAGTAATACAAAGTAGAATAAAGGTAAACAAATCACCCAATAACAAACAAATAACTAAGCCATCCCCATCCTACTAGGCAAAGCCCACCGAGGTATTAATTTATTTTTTAGAAGCGACTTTGCCACAAATGATAACTCATCAAAGTGGTTTATTATGTGGAAATCTATAGGTGACAAATGATCTCAATGCATGTTTTTTTCTGCACCTCAGTGGTTCTCACTGTCGGTATGCGGGCCTCACCTTCCGTGTCTGATGCTCACGCTCCAGCGTGTCGACATCATGCCCTTTATGTTCTCCAGTGAAGGCGCAGACTGTGCACACGAGGCTCACATCTTGCTTGCAGTAGAACATGAGCTCTTGTTTGTGCCTCTTACACTTACGTTCTTCAGGGTTCACATCTGGTGAAACCAGGACGTGGTCATTCAACTTCACCCTCTCCAGGTGAGGCGCGAGGTGCACTCTGCAGAAGGATGTCTCACACCTGAGGCAGGTCTTCACTGCAGGCATCTTGCCTCCTGGACAGTGGTCACAGAAAACAACACCACCAGCAGCAGCAGCAGCAGCAACCATGGTCTCAGTCACTCGCAGCTGCTCTACGAGGTTGGCGATCGTCACGTTCCTGGTCAGCTGGGGTCGTCGACGGAAAGTCTTGCGGCACTGCGGGCAGCAGTAGGAGTATGTGTCCATCCAGGTGTCCTCCAGGCACTGGAGGCAGAACGAGTGGCCGCAGCTGAGCGTGCAGGGGCAATCAAACGTGTCCAGGCAGATGGAGCAGATCAACTCACGGTCCACGTTCTCAGCGGGAGCTGTGCTCGCCATGACCCGAGGATGCACATAACGTCGTTGCTCACTGTGGCTCAGAGAATACATTTCAACAAAAATACTTTATGTTTATAATAAAGTGAGATTTTGATTACCATTGACGAGGTGTGTTCTGTTCAGGAGATACTGTGTGCGCAGCTCACACAGCGGAGACGAACAAGGAAATGAACTTGACTTCACCTGCAGTTAAGTTATAAATACCTCGAGACACGCCCTGGAATGTTCCACACGGCGGCCGCGCTCACCTGTGTAGACGTGGCGTTACAGTCACGCACTGTGTAATAGCTAAAACTGACTTTTGTGTTTAGTTTTTTGTCCTTCCCCTGCACTTCTGATTAGCACGGTTGGTGTGGAAGAAGTTCAACATGCAAACATTCATAGCTTCAACTGGTCTCAATTGATATAATATTTGTACAAACAAAACGCAGCAGCAGCCACCCGGGACACAGCGATAATGGTTTGTCCCACAGGCTGATTGACGGGCAAGGGTCAGGCTGTGTGCATTGCACTATGGAACCGCACCTTGTGCAAACATTCAGATGTAAAGGTTAACTTGTTTTTTTCCCATCTGTGTCTTTATCTATTTTTTTTCTTGCAAGGCCTGTTTGTTTAAGCTTCACAGTTTGTAATCGTCCTCACCTTTATCAACTAATATTTAACTACTGGCTTTATGCATCCTCTGTTGATCTGTCAATTTTTTGTTTTATTCCTATGACACCGTTTTATCCTGAGTGGACGGTGGTTGTATGTATGTTGAACTTCTTTTTCACCGTACGTAGTCAACCGTGCTAATCGAAGGTGTGTGGGTGAGTCTGTAGTTGAGTGAGTGATTTAGTGTGTGGGTGAGTGGGTGAGTACGTATGTTGAACTTATTTCGCAGCGTACGTAGCCACTCGAGCTAATCGAAGGTGCGAGTGAGTGGGTGGTGGTTGAGTGAGTGGGGGGGGGTTATTTGGTGAGAGGGGAGACAGATGGGCAGGAGGATAGCGTGAGGGTGGGCGAGCAGGCGGTGAGAGAGGCCTGGAGGAAGGGTGGCTGGGAGGGCGTGCGGTTGAGTTAGTGGTTACTTGGGTGGGTGGCCTCACACATTACCACAGCGAACAGCCCCTGGCTAAACAAACATCGTGGTTCATTTAAGCTCATTATATGACTTTCACCGTCCATTTTCCTATTATGCGTAAAAATATCGAGGATTTAAATATTAATAACCTAAACAATATATATTCTTCCCCTATTGTTAATGTTAATATTTTACATCCTGGACTCGCTGAGTTTGGTCGATTCTATAAATAAAAAAACTATTTTTATTTTACCAGGTAAGGCCCACTGAGGTATATAGCTCTTTTCAGAAGCGACCTGGCCACAAATGATAGCTCACAGACGTGGCTTATTACGTGGACATTTATTGCAGACAAACACTCTAAACACATGTTTCTAAGTGTGGAAGGAAAAATTGGAGAACCAAGAGACAAATATACGCGACTACGGGGAAAGACAAGCAAACTCCAAGTACATGTACAGGCGTCAGGGTCGGGATCGAACCGACGACCTCCTGTATACCAGGCGAGGTAGTTAACATCTCGTAGCCACCGCAGCGAGATGTAAAACAAAAATCACAGAGCAGCGACAACGAACAAGGAAACGAGCTGACTTCAACTGCAGCAAAATTATAAACACCACGAGACGCGCCCTGGAATGTTGCACGCGGCAGCCCGAACTCACTTGTGTAGACGTGGCGTCATTCACACACACAGTGTCAAGGTTAAAGAGTCGCAATTGATATATTGAACAAAAACCCCACGGTAACCATGAAAACATTGATGGTTTGTCCTATAGACTGGTTACACCGACTTGGGTGAGGCTGTGTTTTTCACTGTAAACCTCACCATGTAAATTCTTAATAAAGATTTAAAATCACAAGTAGGCTATCGCAACCAATATTATCCATAAACGTATTTTTGGGTTAGATCGCGTAAATATGAAAGTGTCGTAAAACTCGCCACCACCCGACACAACCAATGAGTAAGGTTTGTCACGTAAACAAAATAAGTAATATTTAAAAATACTTTTTTTTTTTAAACACGCTTTAATGAAATGTACCCTTCTCGTAAGGGCAGAACTCCACGACTCCAGGAAGTGGCCGCAAAGCTTGCCATAACGTAAGGGACCGTGGTGATTTACAGCCAACGTCAGTTGAGCGTGGACAATTAGACCCAAGCCGAAACATAACATATATAAAAGATTGTGTAAAAATTATTTTTTCAATACTATACTATATAGAGTATAGTATTGTCATCAGTATGACGTAAGTATACCAAGTTTGCAGTCGATACCACATTGGGAAGTGGGTTAAAATTGAGTTACAAGATTTGAGGATACGACAACAACAACAGTAAGTTCAATAAAAGCGTGTAATAATAATAAAAACATTCCCGCTAGGGTGAGGCTGTGCGTTTTGCCCAGCAAACCACACAGCTGTCAGTTCGTATTCAAGGTTCAAAAAGACGATTCCCTTAACCAGAGGGTCACCAACCAAAACAACGAGAGACATTTTTTCTTATATTTTACAATTCGGTAAGTAAAATAGAAACCAAACAACTCATTATTTCAAGAGCCACAATGCAACGTGGTGTAGGTACGAGACAAGGTGGTGGTCCTTGATAAATAAAAAACGTGGTGTGCGTACGAGAGACGGTGCTGGTGGTGGTCCTTGATAAATAAGAACGTCTCACGAAGCAGCCGTTCCTCAGAGCCGCACGCCGCTACGGAGCTGCATGTTGCCGACCCCGTGCCCTGAACCAACTGGCGTGACCGGCAAGTAATAATAGTAATTAAATTATTATATTTGTATTATTTTATTATATTAATTTAATTATTATGTAATTGGAAATGGATAATGTTACGAATACAACTTTACCATATTCCGTCGATTCAAATTGGAATTTGTTAATAGTTGTACTATAACAGTTATAGTGAATTTATAATGCTGTGACTTTGTTTTATGTTTTAAGGTTAAAGTTAATGGGAAATTGTTGCTAACCCCCCCCCCCCCCCCCCCCCCCCCCCCCCGCTGAGTGAGTGGTACATTCCAAACAGCCCAACAGCTACGGTGAGCAATGTGGATCAAAGCAGATACCGGTAACGCGATTTTTTTATTGTCACAGATGTTAATTTGTCATTTTTGGACTGACGTACATCAGAATCGGAATATTTATACTGCAGGAGGAATCCGATGACCTGTAAAGCTCTTTGTAACATATGTCCAGTAGGCGCACGGGGTAAGAACGTAACAACAACAAACAGTACACAAACATGACACATCACCATAACACATCTACAGTAGTTTAACACGTAAAGCTTTCGCGACCAATATCCATTATACAGTTTTATTGGGGGTTAACCATCTAACCCAATCAACCTGCATTATAGACTGCTACAGTATCTATATAAATATAAAAGTTAGTAGTTCCCTGCGTCTTGTTGACATTCGGGTGATTGCCAGAAAGTGCTTTGCTTTATCCACCGCTTTCTTTGTTGTCGGAGTGCAGCGACGACTTCGCCTTGGCTCCGTGTCGCCGTGGACTGCGTCTGTAGCGCGTTGTGGCGAACGGCGTGCGGGTGGTGCAGCTCGTTGACGCACAGCAGCTACTGCTGTTGTTGTTGTACAACATTAATGGTTGACGCCACATCAACGTCTCTTTCAATTCACCACGCGCGATTGTATCACCGATGTGACTTTTTACTTTGACGACACCATTCTTGATTTGAAGCTTTCGTGACTGCAGGCATCCATCGGTAAAAAATATCTAAGTGACTTTACCGAAAGAACCGAGGAATTTACTTCTCATCATTTTCTCACAATGACCTCGCCGTTGACTGTTTACAGCTCATATCTAGCACATGGTGTGGGTATGCAGAGCCGTCAACCCTTTATCAGTGCCCTACTTTATTACGGACCAATCCAGGCGTGATTGGTCACCCCGTGTCCCTTATAAATCTCAGCGTTCATCCTACAAAGTCCCATCACAAGGGAGAAACACAAACAAATAGACAAACACAATGTTTTTACTCAATTTCCCTGTACAACAATACGGGTAAACCCGTATGGGTTGACAGGTATGGGTATGTAACAACATTACACATCACACTATACAGCACACTATGCACTGTCTATAACTCAGCTATAGTACATGGTGAGGGTATGTAACAGCATTACACATCACACTATACAGCACACTATGCACTGTTTATAACTCAGCTATAGTACATGGTGAGGGTATGTAACAACATTACACATCACACTATACAGCACACTATGCACTGTCTATAACTCAGCTATAGTACATGGTGAGGGCATGTAACAACATCACACATCACACTATACAACACACTATTCACTGTCTATAACTCAGCTATAGTACATGGTGAGAGTATGTAACAGCATTACACATCACACTATACAGCACACTATGCACTGTATGTAACTCAGCTAGAGTACATGGTGAGAGTATGTAACAGCATTACACATCACACTATACAGCACACTATGTGATGTGTCATGTTATAGACAACCTCATTGCTTGTGTCTGGGTAGTAAACATAAACACACTCGCATAGCTACTCTGTGCTGTGTGTTACACTCTCGCATTTACAACTCATTCATGAAAAAATAAACACACTGGGATAGCTACTCAGTGGTGTGTCACTCTCTCATTCAGACAGACGCATTTACAACTCATTCGTAAATATAAACACACACATAGCTGCTCAGTGGAGTGAGTTACACTCAAATACAAACGGATAAACTGAAATGCACACAAATATATACACGCGCAAATTCACACGTATTTTTAACAATTAATCAAACTCACGTCTACTCATGACACTGTGTGGCCTTAGAAGGTAATAGTGTATACAACAGGCGACGTTTCGAGCAATGGGCCCTCTTCACAGCACGTCGCGAGCCCGGAGAAATTGTAGAGCGACTCTACAAAAGTGTTGAGATTGTTTTGTTGTTGTTATTTGTGCGCCACTGCCAAACGCAGCGTCGCCAAAACATTTCGGTGATTTGAGAACGGCTCACCATGCTACAGCGCTACAGAAGCCCGCGTTGTTATTTATTTATTAATTCGCTGTTGATCCGCTAAACTCTGCAGCGTCCACACAGAGAAACGCGCGCGTGGGAACCAATTCCAAACCCTTACATTCACTCAAGCAACGATCATCAGAGTAAAAACCCAAACACGCACGCACTCATTCAGAATCGCAGTCCTGCTTTAACTCTCAATTATGTCTTATTAATAGGTCCGTTGCCTGAAACGTCGTTTAATATGTTACCTTAAAGGGGCACGCAGTGCTATTTGATGAACGCTTTGAGTTATTTTGTGACAGCGAGAGAACGTCCCACATGAACCGGCAATGCGCACCACGCATTCGTGCGTTTGACTGCTCTCTGATGCTCGTGGGTGAGATGCCTTGCTTTTGTTCTTGGCTCTGTATCAATGTGTTTTACGTGGTATATTAACGTAAACCGTGTAAGATGTAGATTTTAACGTTTTAATGTGGAGTGATTAGATGTTAACTCCCTCGCCGGGTCTCCAGGAGGTCGTGGATTCGATCCCGACCCCGACGCCTGCTGCATATTAGAAGTTTGCGTTTCTCTCCTTCTCACCGTGGTCGTTTTTTCCCTCCACATTTACAATCAACATCACGCGTTTAGAGTATTAAGCTACTGCTATACATTTCCACATGATAAGCCACTTCGTTTAGCTATCATTTGTGATGGCCAGATCGTTTTTGAGAAAGAGCTACATTGCTCAGTGTGCCTTACCTGGTAAAATATAACAAAATATAGTCCATAGTAAATCGTTTTATTGAAGTTTTTACGCATGTGTCACTTGACACCTTGGACACCCTTGCGAATGAGACGTTCAATCGAGCGACGTTCCAGGTAAAATATTTTAACCATCATCCTGGGGGCTCACAACATCGGAGATGAACAAGGAATCCAACATTACTTAGCACGAGGTTACAAACCTTACGAGACACTCCGTGGAGATGTGCTCAGGTGGTGAAGGTCACAGACACGAGCTTCGTATTGCACGCAGCTGTCGAGACGCAACGTGAGACACGTTACACGGTAGTCTTTGACCACTTCCAGACGGGAGCCAGGTCCACTCGCTACGCTCTCAGTGGGAGCTGCGCTCGTCACGACTCGTCGATTCTCACCGATAGTCGCTCGCTGTGGCTGAGAAACGCTGTCCCTGGAGCGCACACGGCGGCGACGAACAAAGACACGAATCGACTCTCACCTGCGTAGAGAGGAGCGTTGCATTCACACCGCGGTGTTGGGGTTTACGGTTCGCGATTTTTACAAAACCCAGTGGCCAGGCAAACGGTGATGGTTTGTCCCTTGGACTGAATTCGTCGGCTATGGTGAGGCTTTGTGGGTTTCTGCATCAAAACCGTACCTTGTAAAAAATTCGCATTAAAGTTTTTTTTTTTAAGTATGTCGTCTCTATCATTGCCATTTATTTCAAATCAAGATTGCCATTTAGTTGTTGGTGATTTATTTGAGCATGATAGTTTAAAATTGTCTTTAAAAAGATTAAACTTAATATTGTTAATTATTTGACACATTATCTCCCAACTTCACGTGTAAATGAGTGGGGGACCAGGTGGGAGGGTAGGAGGGTGATCGTGTAGGTGGTTGAGCAGGTGTGTGTGTGTGGGTGGAGATTGGTGTTGTAGTGGTTAGTGCGCTGTGCTATGAACCTGCTGATTCAAGTTCAATTCCCACTCATGGCCACCAACACCAATGACCATTGCCTGAACCGGTGATGGCCCTCCCTTAGCTCGACTCAGCCTTAAATTAGTACCTTGGTGTAGAGTATAAATATCACCACTCGGGAGACAAAGGCGACAGGGCTTGGTGCTGGCCACCCACCCATTCGTGTGTCGTGCCTGCCTTCATAGATGCTCGCTAACAGCACTTGTCCAACAGTTTTTTCAGGTTATACGGGGGATCTTTGCCTTTGTGCGGGTGGGTGAGTGAGCGGGTTTGCAGGTGATCAGGTGGGAGGGAGATCAGCCGGGAATAGGCACTTGAATATGCATGAGGTGGGCAGGTGGGAGGGTGGCAGGATGGGCAGGTGTATGGCCGAGCAGGTTTGAGTGTGGGCAGGTGGGAGGGAGGGTCTCTGTAGACGTTTGGGGGTGGTAGTAGGTTAGGGAGTGGCAGGTGTCGGGTAGGAGAGTGTTGGGTGCAGGTGAGTGGGTGGTGGTCATCATTACCAAGCGTCGTCGTCATTATCATCGTGCTCTTAATCATCATCCATCACTCAGGATCCATTCATCATCATAGCTCATGATTACGAGGAACAAGCAAATTGACTGGGATTGCAGCTATTAATACCACGAGACGCGCCATAGAATGTGGCCCAAGGCTACAGACAGCACTTACCTGTGAAGGCGTAAGCTGTAGATTTACAAACTGTGCCCGGTTTAATCTCCAAAAACATAACATCCATACAAACAAAGAACCATCCCAAAAAATACATGTTTACACAAGTCAGTCAGTCTCAGCTATGAGAGAGTCACATTCACAGCCTGCATGACAATCTTAGCAATAGATTTTCAGATTTATTTTGTATTCACCGAGAACACATTGGACCCTTGACCCACAATACAATGTGATTCCCATTCACAGATAACCCAGAACACAATCAAGTCTATGTATATTTACGCGATCTAACCCAATAAACCTTTATCATTGATAATATTGGTCGCGAAAGCCTACGTGTTAAAGTCGATTTGTTTAACCAGGTGAGAACTCAAGAGACCAGGATGAGTCTCGGTTGCAGGAGTGATGATAATGATGCTGTTTCTGCTGCTGATGATTCTGTTACTGCTGATAATGATTCTATCATTATTGATGCTGCTGGTTCTACTCCCGATGCTGATGATGTTAATGATGGAGCTACTGCTGTTGATGCTGTTGCTCCTGTTACTAAATATTCTGCTGATGATACTTCTGCTGATGCTGATGATCGAGTCGAGTTGAATATAAATTTAACGAGGTGAGAACTCAGGAGATCAGGATGAATTTCATTGACAGGAGTGACCTGGGTCACCAAAATTAAAAAGCAAAACAAGTCAAACCCATGCCAGCAATGAAGCAATTAGAAATCTCACCCACAGCCCAGAGCACAATGCGATTAGCGTTCACACAAGTACACAACTGGTACGATATAATCAATGTGTCTCAAATCATCTACGCATTGCTAAACAGCCTGAGACTCGAGGTTGGGTTCACACCAGATTGGTGTATCACGTCAAGGAGGGGGGCCGTGGTGGCTAGGAGATGTTAACTCCGTCGTCTGGTATGCAGGAGGTCGTGTGTTGGATTCTGACCATGACAGCTGCTGTATATTTGGAGTTTGAGGTGTCTCTCTCCCTGTAATAACAAATAGTGTTTGCGTGTTGAGACAATATTAGTTGTGTTATAGTGTAAGGTAGATCTTCACTCTAGATATATATCAGGCTTAATAACATAACAGACTTCAAAGTCAAAAGACAGTTCCAATTTTTGTCAGCAGAGAAAGGCGTTATCCCATGAATCCTAGGGTGTGGCTCGAGGTCCAAAGTCTCAGTCTGAGAGCAGATAATTATAACGTTAAACAAAACCAAACCTTTATCACGAAAAATATTGGTGGCGAAAGCCCTCCTACTATTACTGTGTTAAAATGGCTTATCTATCTCTATGCCCTGTACAATACAACTACTTCGGTGGGTGGAGGAGTCCCTCGACCCCAGGTTATAATAAAAATGCTTTAGCCCAGCGACGCTCGGCACACACCACAAGTAGTTCTCCCTGTAATGATGCCATCCGATTCAACCCCTGGTTTAATGCCCAACGAGTGAGTGATCGCGAGGGGACGGCGCACGTCACTCTGCAGTGTCACGTGACGCATGTTCCTAGCACGCCCGCGGTGGAACTCAGCACTCTCGGCGTTGAGCACCATGAGGCGTGCGGTGTGGTGCGAGGAACGATGGGGTCAGAGAACCTTGGCTCCCCCCGCCCTTCCCTGCCAGTGTGCTAACCACTGCACCACTGCTCCACCCCTTACTGCACACATGACTCTCTATACACTAAAGACAAAATTCCCCAGTGTAGCCGTAACATACTATTGGGGCAAGTGCTGCTAGTGAGTAGCACCTATGAAGGCCAGCCTGGCAGAGACCCGCCTTTGAATCTCCTGGGGCGATAATTACTCATCGCACCAGGTACTCATTTTAGGCTGATTCGACCTAGGGAAGACCCAAGACCGATTCAGATAATAATCATTGGTGTTGGTAAACCGGTCATGGGTCTCCCCTAGGTCGTCTCAGCCTCAAATAAGTACCTGGTGCGATGAGTAAACATCGCCACTTGGGAGACAAAGGCGGCCAGGCGTGGTGGTGGCCACCCACACCCTCGTGTGAAGTGCCGGCCTTTATAGGTGCTTGCTGGCAGCACTTGCCCCTACAGCCTGTTCACGCTATACGGGGGGATCTGTGTCTTTGTGTGCACGAGTCTGGGCGTTGTGCCCGTTCCTCTGCGCTGCTCACACTCCGTGCTCTCAGGACGCACGACTCAGATCCAGAATCCTCACTGTGTCACCAACATCACCATACACACCCAGTGCGGGGTAGAGCGGTTGACTAAACGAGTGGTGGATGGAGTGCAGCAGCTCCATTGAGTTGGCGCGGTAAAACGACAGCAGCCCCGCCTCCCAGTGCAGGTGACACCCGACTATCCGGGGAGGATTCCTCACCGGCACTGAGGTCCAGACACCACCATGATGCACGTCGCATCTGTTGTTATCTTTATATAACACCCAGGATGAGTCGTTCCTTCCCAGCCTGCACTCGTCACCACGCCCTTTCCGTGCGATCGTTCCGTACGCGACTCCAACCTCACAGCTCCCCGCCGCACCCCCCACGTCCACCTCCCAGTAGTGCTGACCCGACGAGAAGCTCTCGGAGCACAGGGCTTGGTACCACCAATCAAAGCGGTGTGGGTGATCGGGGCGACCCTGGGAGACAGCGGTCCACTTCACCGTCCTGAGGTCCGAGGAAATCTGGAGGTAGTTGCAGGCCGAGTTTGGGTCCACAGTCGGTGAGCGTCCGTCTGCAGTAACGATAATCACAGTAGCCGTGTAACAACAGCACGACTATAACAACAACACTCGTGCACTAACACGCACGTACACTACAATAGAGCAATTCATAATGAGCATTGTTATACAACGTTGTAATGCGTAGCTATCGGTGTGATGACATGAAACGGGCACTTTGTCAATCCACTGCTGGATGAGGGCCTCCCTACACCGTGTGGGTCGCGGGGGATATTTGACCATACTTCACCACGCCGGTCATCGCGCGTTGGCGAAGACAGGCGGCGCGGCTTTCGAGAGCACAGAAGTACAGTACAGCGGTGCGTTTGTCTGCCCCGCCATCTACATTTTTAAAAGTCGAGCTTCAGTTCAATATTCACTGTGTAATAGATGTAAAACATGTGATGTTACCATCAAAATGTGAACTGCTCTATATATTCTAATGCAAGGCTGAAAACTTTAAAGATATTAATTGCTTCCAACATGTATTTATTAAAATGTTTTAATTGAAATAGAACGATCAAACATAGAACAATTATTACGTTTTGTCGGTAAAGTGACGTAGGTAAAATAATAATAATATAAAATAATAATAATAATAATAAAATAGTAATAAAATATTAATACTAATAAAATAATAAAATAAAATAATAATAAAATAAAATATTAATAAATTAATATTGATAAAGTAATAATAAAATACTAATAAGATATTTTAATGATAAAATAATAACAAAATAGTCATAAAATAACATAGTATTAACTAATAATGATAAAAAAAATATTAAATTAAATAATAATATAATAATATAAAGTGATACAGTAAATCTAGCTGTGACGGTCCCACGTGAAGACGGAGGTTTGTGTTGCCTCCGAAACGTCGTGATTTAATTGAGTTATTTTCATTTATTATTTTATTTATTTATTTTTACCTACGTGACTTTACCGAAACAACCTAAGAGTATGAATCCTTGCAGTCACGAAAGCTTCAAATCTAGAATTAATTGTTAAGTTAAATCAATAAAGTTCTAATAATAAAAAATGAAACAATTCCAATAAGAAAGTAATAGGACTTTTCAAATCGCTAAAAATCGCAGCCTTTGCGATTTGCTAATCGCATTGTTTCAAATTGCGACTTCGATTTGAAATCGATTCATCGTTCAGCCCCACTGTGCGGTGGTGCCCGTGGGAGGCAGTGGATCACAGCAGCAGCAGCAGCGTGGATATCAACACCGCCGCAGCGTCTCTGTGTGTGTACAACAAACACAAACATCTCCCGTGTGTCACCTTTCACAGGCTGTAGGGGCAAGTGGTGCTGGTGAGCACCTGTGAAGGCCGGCACGGCACACGAGGTGGTGTGATAGTGTAGTGATGTACACTCGTGTGTGTGTGTGATAGTGTAGTGATGTACACTCGTGTGTGTGTGTGATAGTGTAGTGATGTACACTCGTGTGTGTGTGATAGTGTAGTGGTGTACACTCGTGTGTGTGTGTGTGTGATAGTGTAGTGGTGTACACTCGTGTGTGTGTGTGTGTGATAGTGTAGTGATGTACACTCGTGTGTGTGTGTGATAGTGTAGTGATGTACACTCGTGTGTGTGTGTGATAGTGTAGTGATGTACACTCGTGTGTGTGTGTGATAGTGTAGTGATGTACACTCGTGTGTGTGTGTGATAGTGTAGTGATGTACACTCGTGTGTGTGTTAGTGCAGTGATGTACACTCGTGTGTGTGTGATGGTGTAGTGATGTACACTCGTGTGTGTGATAGTGTAGTGATGTACACTCGTGTGTGTGTGATATTGTAGTGATGTACACTCGTGTGTGTGTGATATTGTAGTGATGTACACTCGTGTGTGTGTGATATTGTAGTGATGTACACTCGTGTGTGTGTGATAGTGTAGTGATGTACACTCGTGTGTGTGTGTGTGATAATGTTGTGATGTACACTCGTGTGTGTGTGTGTGTGATAGTGTAGTGATGTACATTCGTGTGTGTGATAGTGTAGTGATGTACATTCGTGTGTGTGATAGTGTAGTGATGTACACTCGTGTGTGATAGTGTATAGTGATGTACACTCGTGTGTGTGTGTGATGATGTAGTGATGTACACTAGTGTGTGTGTGTGATAGTGTAGTGATGTACACTCGTGTGTGTGATAGTGTAGTGATGAACACTCGTGTGTGTGTGATAGTGTAGTGATGTACACTCTGTGTGTGTGATAGTGTATAGTGATGTACACTCGTGTGTGATAGTGTATAGTGATGTACACTCGTGTGTGATAGTGTATAGTGATGTACACTCGTGTGTGTGTGATAGTGTATAGTGATGTACACTCGTGTGTGTGTGATAGTGTATAGTGATGTACACTCGTGTGTGTGTGATAGTGTATAGTGATGTACACTCGTGTGTGTGTGATAGTGTAGTGATGTACACTCGTGTGTGTGTGATAGTGTAGTGATGTACACTCGTGTGTGTGTGATAGTGTAGTGATGTACACTCGTGTGTGTGTGATAGTGTAGTGATGTACACTGTGTGCGTGTGATAGTGTAGTGATGTACACTGTGTGCGTGTGATAGTGTATTGATGTACACTCGTGTGTGTGTGTGATAGTGTATTGATGTACACTCGTGTGTGTGTGTGATAGTGTATTGATGTACACTCGTGTGTGTGTGTGATAGTGTATTGATGTACACTCGTGTGTGTGTGTGATAGTGTAGTGATGTACACTCGTGTGTGTGTGTGATAGTGTAGTGATGTACACTCGTGTGTGTGTGTGATAGTGTAGTGATGTACACTCGTGTGTGTGTGTGATAGTGTAGTGATGTACACTCGTGTGTGTGTGTGATAGTGTAGTGATGTACACTCGTGTGTGTGTGTGATAGTGTAGTGATGTACACTCGTGTGTGTGTGTGATAGTGTAGTGATGTACACTCGTGTGTGTGTGTGTGTGATAGTGTAGTGATGTACACTCGTGTGTGTGTGTGATCGTGTAGTGATGTACACTCGTGTGTGTGTGTGTGTGATAGTGTAGTGATGTATATTCGTGTGTGTGTGTGATAGTGTAGTGATGTACACCGTGTGTGTGTGATAGTGTAGTGATGTACACTCGTGTGTGTGATAGTGTAGTGATGTACACTGTGTGTGTGTGATAGTGTAGTGATGTACACTCGTGTGTGTGTGTGATAGTGTAGTGATGTACACTCGTGTGTGTGTGATAGTGTAGTGATGTACACTCGTGTGTGTGTGATAGTGTAGTGATGTACACTCGTGTGTGTGTGTGTGTTAGTGTAGTGATGTACACTCGTGTGTGTGTGATAGTGTAGTGATGTACACTCGTGTGTGTGTGTGTGGTAGTGTAGTGATGTACACTCGTATGTGTGTGATAATGTAGTGATGTACATTCGTGTGTGAGTGATAGTGTAGTAATGTACACTCGTGTGTGTGATAGTGTAGTGATGTACACTCGTGTGTGTGATAGTGTAGTGATGTACACTCGTGTGTTTGTGATAGTGTAGTGATGTACACTCGTGTGTGTGATAGTGTAGTGATGTACACTCGTGTGTTTGTGATAGTGTAGTGATGTACACTCGTATGTGTGTGTGTGATAGTGTAGTGATGTACACTCGTGTGTGTGTGATAGTGTAGTGATGTACACTCGTATGTGTGTGATAGTGTAGTGATGTACACTCGTATGTGTGTGTGTGATAGTGTAGTGATGTACACTCGTATGTGTGTGTGTGTGATAGTGTAGTGATGTACACTCGTATGTGTGTGTGTGATAGTGTAGTGATGTACACTCGTGTGTGTGTGTGATAGTGTAGTGATGTACCCACGTGTGTGTGTGTGATAGTGTAGTGATGTACACTCGTGTGTGTGTGATAGTGTAGTGATGTACACTCGTGTGCGTGTGTGTGATAGTGTAGTGATGTACACTCGTGTGTGTGTGTGATAGTGTAGTGATGTACACTCGTGTGTGTGTGTGATAGTGTAGTGATGTACACTCGTGTGTGTGTGTGATAGTGTAGTGATGTACACTCGTGTGTGTGTGTGATAGTGTAGTGATGTACACTCGTGTGTGTGTGTGATAGTGTAGTGATGTACACTCGTGTGTGTGTGTGATAGTGTAGTGATGTACACTCGTGTGTGTGTGTGATAGTGTAGTGATGTACACTCGTGTGTGTGTGTGTGTGATAGTGTAGTGATGTACACTCGTGTGTGTGTGTGTGATAGTGTAGTGATGTACACTCGTGTGTGTGTGTGTGATAGTGTAGTGATGTATATCGTGTGTGTGTGTGATAGTGTAGTGATGTACACCGTGTGTGTGTGATAGTGTAGTGATGTACACTCGTTGTGTGTGATAGTGTAGTGATGTACACTGTGTGTGTGTGATAGTGTAGTGATGTACACTCGTGTGTGTGTGATAGTGTAGTGATGTACACTCGTGTGTGTGTGTGATAGTGTAGTGATATACACTCGTGTGTGTGTGTGATAGTGTAGTGATGTACACTCGTGTGTGTGTGATAGTGTAGTGATGTACACTCGTGTGTGTGTGATAGTGTAGTGATGTACACTCGTGTGTGTGTGTGTGGTAGTGTAGTGATGTACACTCGTATGTGTGTGATAGTGTAGTGATGTACATTCGTGTGTGAGTGATAGTGTAGTGATGTACACTCGTGTGTGTGATAGTGTAGTGATGTACACTCGTGTGTGTGATAGTGTAGTGATGTACACTCGTGTGTGTGATAGTGTAGTGATGTACACTCGTGTGTGTGATAGTGTAGTGATGTACACTGTGTGTGATAGTGTAGTGATGTACACTCGTGTGTTTGTGATAGTGTAGTGATGTACACTCGTATGTGTGTGTGTGATAGTGTAGTGATGTACACTCGTATGTGTGTGTGTGATAGTGTAGTGATGTACACTTGTATGTGTGTGTGTGATAGTGTAGTGATTTACACCCGTGTGTGTGATAGTGTAGTGATGTACACTCGTATGTGTGTGTGTGATAGTGTAGTGATGTACACTCGTATGTGTGTGTGTGTGATAGTGTAGTGATGTACACTCGTATGTGTGATAGTGTAGTGATGTACACTCGTGTGTGTGTGTGTGTGATAGTGTAGTGATGTACCCACGTGTGTGTGTGTGTGATAGTGTAGTGATGTACACTCGTGTGTGTGTGATAGTGTAGTGATGTACACTCGTGTGCGTGTGTGTGATAGTGTAGTGATGTACACTCGTGTGTGTGATAGTGTAGTGATGTACACTCGTGTGTGTGTGATAGTGTAGTGATGTACACTCGTGTGTGTGTGATAGTGTAGTGATGTACACTCGTGTGCGTGTGATAGTGTAGTGATGTACACTCGTGTGCGTGTGTGTGATAGTGTAGTGATGTACACTCGTGTGTGTGATAGTGTAGTGATGTACACTCGTGTGTGTGATAGTGTAGTCTAGTCACTATTTAGTGATTTACACGGTCAACCAGGGTGAAGCCCTTAGCTGTCTGGCTGTCCGATAAACCTCTGAATATTCACAAATAATTCTCAAGGTGCCTTTGATTCTGAGAGCTTTACACATTAACACTGAACCCTAAGAATCCTAACTGTGTCTGAATCTGTATCACGCTGCCTCAAGTACGAATTATGAATCCTCAGAATCTCAGCCACAGCGTCTCTGTGTAAAACACCCACAGTGACAGCATAGCAACAGCATCCTGGGCAATAGTAATGCATCTGTAAGTATGTACAGTGATACACATGGTCAGCCACAGTGATAGCCCAGTCTGGCTTTGTGAGCCTCGGGTATTAACCTTGACCCCAATAATCCTTAAGGTGCCTTAGTAGGGATATAGTAGCCTCAAGCATCATTAATGAATATTGAGACTCATTAGGCTGCCTTAGTCTGGATATGAGCCTACAGCATTAACAATGAACCCTATGCATCACAACGGTGATGTAGTCTGGCTTTAGTCTGATGATGATTTCGATCACAGAGAAGACTCATAGTCATAGATTAATCTGCTACAATAGTTACTTTGTCCAACAGCATCCTCACTGGACTATACAAACATGTAATATCAATGGAGCTCATGTAATAGTGAAATACACTCGTGGTTGTGCTATATAGTATTGTCCAATGAATACATTACATTCGTAATGTTGATCTTTGCACGTGCAGTGCGTTCCAAGATTAACCAAGGTTATGCCTTAGTCTGATTCTGTGATCCTCAGCCATTAACTGGGGGAACCTAAGAATTCTTAAAGTGCCTTAGTTTGACTCTCTGAACATCAGTCTGTTAATATGAAGCCTAATAATCTGAAATGTGTCTTGGTCTGGATGTATGATCCTTGGGCATTACCAATCATCCATAAGATTCCTATAATTACTTTGATCTCGTTTTTAAAACCATAGCCTTTTTCATTGAATCATACAAATCCCGCAGGCTGCCTTTGTTCCCACAGTGCTGATGTTTGCCAGGTGTACTAGGTACTCATTAAGGCTGAGTCGATCTAGGAGAGGTCCAACATTGGTTCTGAATCCAGCCATGGCCGTGAATCACGTGTCGGTGACCATGTTTGTAGCTCGGTGCACAAACCACCCCATCTTCATTAAACATTCACTCTCGCTCATCCATACACCCATACACCTCCGATTAGCACGGTTGGTTACGTACAGTGTGAAAGAAGTTAAAGAAACATGGATACATATGTAGTGGTTTAACGCGCACCAAGGGAGGTAATTGCAAACACGTGTGGGCTGGGAACAGTGGGGTCGTACCGGGACAGGCTGGTGTTGCTGTGGGACAATGGAGGAGAGAGAGACAACCCGTTAGGCAATTATGGATGCAGGGCAGTGATTGGCCGGTTGTTGTTGTCAGGGACAGGGTGGCACCGCTAAGTCTGGAAATGAGGACAAGTGGCGCCGGGGGCTGGGGGCGCGGGGCGTTAGGGGGGACGCCAACCAATTAATTGGAAATTAATAGGGACGGTATAAATACGGGAGAGTGAGACGAGAAGTTGTGATAGGAGCTGGATGGAGTCGTTCGAAGCAGAAGAAGAAGTGTAGGGTAGCAGTGGAGTAGAAGAAGAAGTGTAGGGTAGCAGTGGAGTAGAAGAAGAAGTGTAGAGTAGCAGTGGAGTAGAAGAGAAGTGTAGAGTAGCAGTGGAGTAGAAGTGCAGAGTAGCAGTACCGACAGAGAAGCTGAACGAGAGAGATAGTCGAAGTGAGACGGAGAAGCCGAGACAGAGCGACAGTCGGAGTGAGACGGAGAAGCCGAGAGAGAGCGACAGTCGGAGTGAGACGCAGAAGCCGAGAGAGAGCGACGGCTGGAGTGGGACGCAGAAGCAGAGATGGGAGTCGGGAGAGACGGAGAGAGAGAGGGAGGACCGGGGCGAACGGGGCGAGCGAGGCCGGCAGAGCATGGCGAGCGGGTGGAGAACGCGCTGGAGAATGGTGGCGAAATGTGCTGTGTTGGATAAAATAAAGTGACGACAGAAAAGGAAAAAGTTGTCCGCGTAAAGTTCAGCACTACACATACACCATTACAAAGGCAAAGATATACCCGTATATCTTTAACAGACTGTTGGGGCAAATGCTGTTAGCGAGCACCTATGGAGACCAGCATGGCACACGAGGGGGTGGGTGGCCAGTACCACGCCCGACCGCTTTTGTATCTCTCGTGTCTATGTCTACACACTGCACCAGATACTAATTTGTTTGTATGTTTAACCTCTTTCGCACCGCACATAGCCGACCATGTATTTACGGCTGAGTCTTCCTAGGGGGGTTCAGGACCTGTTCAGATAATCATCACTGGTGTTGGCCGTGAGCAGAAATCGAACTCCAGTGGCTGGATTTGTAGCACTGGATTTGTAGCGCAGCATGCTAACTGCTAGACGACCCCTTTCCACACACTCCATTTCATCGCGACCTACACACAGCCACGATTACATATGCAATAACATACATGCACACGTGGCAAGAGTCCGTGTTACTCACACATGAACGGCAGCAGTTTGATCAGAGCTCCCTGCTGTGCGCTTATCGTGGCAATATCTTCTTTGCTGGGAGATGAGTGTGGAGCTTCCTTCTGAGCGTCTCTCCTATGACACCACAACCAGCAGTGACTCACACAGCCCGTGTCTTACACAGCATAATGACGCACAGCAATCATCACACAGCATCATCACACAGCATCATCGCACATATAATCATCACATGCAGCATCATCACACACAGCCAGTATCCTACAAAGCATCATCAAACGCAGCATCATCACGCCCGACCAGCATCATCACATACACTCCATACAGCATCATAACACAAAACATTATCACTCACAGCATCATCACACAGCATCCTCACACAGCATCATCTTCACAGACAGCATCATGACACACAGCATCATGTCTCACACACAGTCACCCAGTGTGTGAATCTGTGTGAGTTCATGAGTCCATACCGGTTTGTCTCCTTCAGGTGAACCTGCAGGAGTCAGACACAAGGGGCACGAGTCCGTTCATTTTGAGCCACGTTAACAACACGGTTATTGGTAGACGCGATGAGGGTGCGCTCAGCCATTCGCGTATCCCAGTGTTGTTGGTTGTAATCAAGACAAAGCCGTGGACTCGTTTGCACTCGATGATTATCATCAGCAAGGTGTCACCTCTCAAACCATTGCCACAGGCAATAGGCATACGTGGCACTCAACATCGAGCGGCAGTGATTGTGAACCAACATTCGAAATAATCGTCCACCCAGAGCATTGCGTTACCTTTGTCAGTAGTTTAGAAATTTTGGGACGATTTTTGGGTCCGGGTAAAACTGTGGCCTGGAGTCGGAGCCATTCCCAGTACACCTTTGTGTGCGACAGGGATGTCCTCTGGCTCCCACATGATTTAACATCTATTTCGACCACGTAGTTCGTGAAGCCTTCAACAGCTGTACCAGGGGAATTTCCATCTGGTACAGATACAATGGGAGGCTGATCGATGCCCGGGTGTGGTCAAGGGATGGCTCCCTATTGCTAAACCACGTTATGTATGCCGATGATCTGGTAATTGCTGCTCACTCAGAGGAGGAGTTGGAGGTGCTGCTGGTGAACCTGGAGCTTGCAACTAAGAGGTGGGGCCTTACCATCAGCCCCACCAAAACTAAGCACCTGCCTGGGTATTTTGTACCATCGGACACTCCACTCCCACAACTCGCAATTAGTGATAGGACAGGTGTGGAGAGAGTGTAGAGTTTTCCATACCTGGGTAGTGTGCTCATGACCGGCTCCGGTTTAACAGCAGAGGTCTCACTCCGAACCAGTCATGCGGCATTATCTTTTCATCGGTTGCGTAACGCTGTGTGGAAGCTACCTGGTCTGTCGCTCCGCACGAAGCTTCAGGTCTTCTCGGCCACAGTCATTCCCTCCCTTCTCTATGCTTGCGAAAAGTGCACCCCCATAATGGAACATCTTCGCCGGTTAGAAACATTTAGGCTGGCCTGCCTACGATCCATCCTGGGTTTAACCAGGCTGGATTGTGTGAGCTCACAAATCCTTGAAAGATGTGGATAAAGTCCCATCGGTGAGCTCCTCTGGCAGGCAAGGCTGCATTGGCTGGGTCATGTAGCCCGCATGCCCAGCCACCGCATGCCTAAATAGCTTTTGTTCGGCCGGATCGAGAGGGCTAAACGGGCGCGGTATGGGCTAGAGAAGAGATTGAGTGATGTAGTACAGGAGGACGTGGAGCTGAGTGGACTTGCCGATGACTGGTACCAGCGGTGTCAAGATCGGCCTCTGTGGAGGAGGTTCATGAAGGACGCTACTGGGCAGTTGGAGGCAGTCACCCTCCAACAACAACGGAGGGCGGAGGAGCGACGCTCACAACAACGAGCGGAGCGCCGGGTGGCTAAAGCACAGAAAGTTGGTACAGTAGGGGGTACACGTGGTGCATCAGCCAGTTATCTCAGTCAGTCGACCCGTGGCACCTGGGTCTGCCCCGTGACCTCCTGCTAGCGGGTATTCGACATTTCACGTGGCCTCAACGTGCACATAGCCTGGCACAAGCGTCGTGTTGACATCACCGCCACTTAGTGGCGAATGGCGGTTGTTGTGTCTGTGTGTGCACAAATGGCCCGTGTGTGTGTTTCTTTGTAGTGTCTGTGTGCGTGTCTGTTTGTGTATCTTTCATTTGTGTGTGCCTCCCCCGTGTGTGAGTTTGTGTGTTCAATTGTAGTGACTCATTGCGCCTCTTTCAATAAGCAAGACGGGATCGGGACTCAAGGTAAGTGAAAATGCAACGGATTTTTTTCTATTCATGTTACTTTATCTCATGTTTTATTTACTATACAGTTATTTTACAGTGTTACATGGAAATGTACAGTATTTCTTCTTATTTATGAGTTTAACAATGCTTCAGTTTTTTCTTGAACCAGAACACATTTCATGACAGCAATTGTAATGGAATTCAAATAGGGCACATTGTTGTGTTCCGACTTATGAACTGTTCGTCTTTGCGAACAGGCCTGGGAACGAGTTGTGTTCGTAAGTCGAGTACTATCCTAGCTATGAAAATGCTCTACCTGCAGGAACGTGAGCGAGTCCCTCTCCTCCTGCAGAGCGCGCAGGCGCGTGGCTCCTGCCTTGAGGTCGCTGATCTCGTGCTCGTAATGAGCGATGTTCTCCTCGATCCGGGACAGCAGCTTGCCCCCCTTCACATCCACGCGATCCAGAGCCGTCTTCTCATCGTCACCCAGCATCGCCCTCATGTGGGCGAACTCGCCTGAGATATGAGCCTTGGTCTGGACCATGCAATCCTGCAGGGGTGTGCGATGGATGCTATCAATTAATATTCAATGCTATAAACACCAAAATCACGTTGTTTTCTGGTTACTCCAAACCTAGTTTGCCCTGCCTCCACATTATGTGTCTGCACTTACATCTCATTGAACAGGTCGATAACTTTTAAGTATCTAGTTCCTTCATATCCATAATATGGTTAGTAAAATGAAAAGTAAAATTGGATTCCTCTGGAAATAATCACAACATAAAGTGAAACATTAAATTGTAAATCGAAACATAATTTTCCATACGGTCCCATTATATGACCTAAGATGCATTACTGAACCAAAACGTACTAAAAAACATAGTTCAAAACAACTGAGATATTTTACGCACAAATATGGAAAACAATAACGACTAATAACTTACTATAATTACCTGTTATTAAAACTAGCTCACATTGCTGGAATGTCCATGCCTCTCAACATAGGCTGGGCTCTCTCCCCTCCCTCCACCGTTTCAATTCACTATTAGCTCAGACTACACACTTCAGCTGCTGTAACTGCATGGACCCAACCCTTTGTTGTTAATTTTTGTATTGCCATTATGGTCTTTTTATTCACTCGATCGAACAAAGACGGCCGCTGCATCGCATGCTTTCAGGTGCGCTTCTGTGGCCATCTGGAACGTTCTTCCTTCAAATATTAGGAAGCCATTGGAGCTATGTACTTTTACATCGTCTCGATTGAGAACTGTCTTTGTGTTCAGTTTGTTGTCCTTCCGCCGTACCTCCGATTAGCACGATTGGCTTACGTAAAATCATGTTCACTTCACCTCAAGCTCATCTGTGTACTAACCATACATTAGTCCTTTTTTGGTGCAATACACCTGTTGTTAATTTTGTTAATATTGTTATGGTTGTTTGTAAAAAAAAATTCCGGTAGCTCTGAAGCACTCTTTTCATGTTGCATATCCCTCCCCAACTATCAACTTTATATTGTTTTTGTTCTATGCTGATGCATCAGGATTTCCCTTGCAAATTAACTGGGTTCATGGCTTAATGGGATTTTCTGTGTAACAATTAATATTCAGGGCCCTATCACTATGCAGGGCAGTAAAGGCAGGATAGCTAAATCCTACGCAGACCAAACCTAGACATAGGTCAGTCAGTGTAGATTAATCAAAGCTGTGCAGTTTATTGTAATACACTTAAACACAATACCACAAGATTCTGTTCCAAATAAATTCCTGTCACCTGAACACAGATGCAAATTACCGGGCTGTCCAAGTCAACTTTAAGTGGAGGTGTAAAGAGTAGTGAGTTGCGTGGTGAGTGGGATATGTATATATGCTGAATCAATGCAGCTATAATTATGCACTCCCAGAAGACCGTGGATGTTTAGAAATATGTATTTTAGGTGGAGAGACAAATCTATACGGCAAAAATATCGTTCATTTATCTATTTTCATAGTTATATTCTCCACCACAAATCTAATAATTATGTTTGTGTTGTGTATTATGATTTGGCATCGCACTACGAACTATATCTTTATGAGAAGGTCCTTACCTATGAACATAGGGAAGTACACCAGCATTGACTACAGCAAGCCTGGCTGATACTGAGACACTGGATATGGAAACCAGTCCAGAGCTTTCTTGTACTGAATCAATACTTTTGAAACGATGCACTCCCACGTCGTGAGGCTGATATGATGTGTACATTTTTCTCATAATTTTTATACAGAGGCATTATCTGCTTATCGGTTTTTATTACTAATGTTTTCCACAACATTGAGGTTTTGCGTAATTATTATCACCAGCTGACTTAATTCCCTCTTTTACAGCAGGATTTCCATGGCATTGGATACTCGTAACCTTATCGTGGAGGTGATGTTTGTGTGTTCTAATGACCCTCAGAGCTATGTCGCCTGGAGTCTTGTACTCCTGGTAGGATCTCCCTTAGTGAACAGGTCTGGGCGGACGTTCCAGACAAATAATGGTCCCAAAAAACCATCCCTTTATGAATGGTTAAAAAATACCAAAATCAGACAACTTGACCCAGACAAGGTATACCGGGACACCCCCCCTGGAGCCAGGCCTGGGGGTGGTGTTTGCCGAGAAGAGCCTGGTGGGCAGGAGACCCACGTAATTCGGTTGAGCCCTGCCCGAAATGGCTACGTGGCACCGTCCTGTGGCCCCACCATCCGCAGGAGGAAGAGTGAGGGGCGGATGCAATGCCAGTATTGCAGGGAGTGGGATGGTCTCAGACGGACTGGACCTTGGCAATGGGCACTAGCTATTGGGACCTGGAATGTCACATCACTGGGGGGGCGGGGGGGGAAGGAGCCGGCATTGGTGGAGGAGGTGGAAAGGTACCGACTAGATGTAGTTGGTCTCACCTACACACACAGCATTGGCACTGGAAGTAAACTTCTCAATCGGGGGTGGTCTCTCTCCTGTTCTGGCATAACCCCTGGTGAGAGGCCCCGGGTGAATGGGGGATACTCACAAGCCCCCGGCTGGGTGCTGTTCAGTTGGAGTTTGTCCCAGTGGGAAATGATGTAGATACCTGGAGAGGCGTGATAAGGGGGAATGCCACCCTTGATCCGACTCCGAATGTTGAGATGTTACTGGAATTCTGTGATAGTAACAGAATGTCAATAACAAACACCATGTTTGAACAAAAGGATGCTCATGTGTGTACTTGGCAACAGGGCACCTTGGGCCGAAGGTCAATGATTGACTTTATATTGGTATTATCAGAACTAAGGACATATGTTGTGGACACTCAGGTGAAGAAAGGGGCAGAGCTGTCAACTGATCACCACCTGGTGGAAAGTTAGATGCAATGCTTGGAGCACTGACCAGATAGACGTGGAAGGCCCAAACGAATAGTGCAGCTTTTCTGGGACGTCTGGCAGAAGACCCAGTGCAGAAAGATTTTAAATTCCACCTCTGGAAAAACTTATCTTGCTCTCCAGAAAAGGTGATGGACATTGAGTCCGAGTGGACAATGTTCAGGACCTCGATTGTGGATGCGACTGTGAAAAGCTGTTGTTGGAAGACAGTTAGTGCCTTTGAAAGTGGCAAACCTAGGTCCCGTTAGTGGACACCAATGCTGAGGGACGCTGTCAAGTTGAATAAGGAGGCTTTTTCCTAGCTATGCTCGGAAAAAGGTCTCCTTGCTCGATTGAGAGGTACCTGCTTGCCAAGAGGGTGGCAGCGGTAGCAATCACTGATGCGAAAGCCCGGGCATGGGAGGAACTTGGAGAGGCCATGGAGAGAGACTTGCTGTCAGCCTCAAAGATATTCTGGCAAACCATCCGACGCATTGGGAAGGGTCGACGGGGCGTGGCCCAGGCTGTTCCTAGTAAGGGTGGCGTAACATTGAACTCAACTAAGGAGATAGCTGACAGCTGGAAGAAACATTTTGGTGAGCTCCTCAACCCGGTGGACAAGCCCTCCTCTCAGAAGCCAGCTCTAGAAACAGCTGGGGGGGATCAGATCCATCATGGCTGCTGAAGTCTCTGCGGCGGTTGAGGGTCTTCATAGCGGCAAAGCTGCTAGAGTGGACGAGATTCACCCAGAGTTCTTGAAAGCACTGGACAGTGTTGGTGTGTCGTCGTTAACAGGCCTCTTCAATGTTGCATGGAAGGCGATGGGTACAGTACCTCTGGATTGGCAAACTGGAGCCGTGGTTCCCATTTTTAAGAAAGGGGACTAGAGGGTGTGCTCCAACTAAAGACAGTTCACACTCCTTAGCGTCCCAGGTAAAGCCAAGGCTAGAGTGCTGGAGTGGAGGCTCCTGCCGGTTGGTTGATCCTCAAAGGATTCCGTCAGGGTCGTGGAACAATAGACCAGCTCTTTTCCTTCTTACAGATATTTGAGGGGTCATGAGGGTATGCTTCTCCAGTCTACCTTTGCTTTGTAAACTTGGAGAAGGCATATGACCAAGTTCCCTGTAATGCTTTCGTGACTGCAGGAATTACGAAAGCTCCAAATCAAGTTTGAACCACCTCTACGGGGAGGATTCAAGTTTTTTTTCTCTCTCTCTCTGTGTCTCTGTGTTGTCTCTCTCTGCTTGTGTGTCTGTCTTTGTCTCCATGTCTGTGTTTTGTCTCTCTCTCAAATTTAACACTTAACTTCTAATTTAGCAATCTTTGAAAGAACGTAATCAACCAGGCTATGCATTAATTGTGTGTTGACCGACTTTCTGTGTTTCATTGCATTGCATTTCCAAATTTTACTAAGTTTTGTTTAATTAAGTGTGTTTTCTCTCTCTGTGTGTGTCTTTGTGTTGTTGCTCTAGTTTTCCAGCAGTCACGACAGCTCCAAATCTCTCATTGACATGCTAATTTCTCTACCCCCCCTCTCTTTCTCTGCCTCCCTCTCGCTCTATTTAAGGCCTCGACACAGAGGCGTTGTTTCTCTGTGTGCCTATGCGTGTGTCTCTCTCTGTGTGTCTCTGTGTTATCTCTGCTTATGTCTGTCTATATGTCTCCGTGTCTGTGTTTTATCTCTCTATCAAATTTTGCAACCTTTGGAAGAACGTAATCAACCAGGTAGGGTGTTGACTGTTACGTTATGTGTTGTATTGCATTATATTTCTAAGTCTACTAGCTTTATTTTCTCTTTCATTCGTACCTGATGATGATTGCTTGTGTTGCAATCGAAACGTCGTATGCTATTATTTAATTTATTTTTCTTTCTACGTGACTTTACCGAAAGAACCAAAGAGTAATTCTTGCAGTCACGAAAGCTCCAAATCAAGTTTGAGTTTAAGTACCTCGGGGTTTCTTTCCTGAGTGATGGTAAGTGGGAGCGGGAGATCGGCCGGTGGATCAGTGCGGCGTTCCAAGTGTTGCAGGCATTGTACCGTTCCATGGTCGTGAAGTGGGAGGTGAGTTATCGAACAAATCTTTTGCTTTACAGGTCGATCTACGTTCCCACATTCACCTATTGTCATGAGCTTTGGATAATATCTGAAAGGATGAAATCGCGGGTACAAGGGACCGAAATGGGGTTTCTCTGCATGGTTGCTGGGCTTACTCTCCATGATTGGGTGAGGAGCTCAGTAATCCAGGAAAGCCTCAGAGTGGGGCTGCTGTTCCTCTGGATCGAAAGGAGCCATTTGAGGTGGTTTGGGCACCTGGTAAGGATGCCCCCCGGTAGACTCCCCCTGGAACTCTCCTGGGAATGTTTCACTGGGCGAAGACCCCGGGGCCGACCCAGGACACGCTGGCGGGACTATGTCACTCGGCTGGCCTGGGAACGCCTGGGAATTCCCCAGGAAGTGCTAGAGCCTGTCACCAGGGAAAGAGATGTCTAGATCGTTCTACTCAACATTCTGCTTCCACGACCCTCACCAGGACAAGTGGATTGAGAAACGAATGAATGAACAAACTCATGAATGCGATAATGCAAACAGGCTCAGAGCAATACCGTTGAAGACATATCAAAAGTAGACGCAATCACGTAATTATCCTTTCCATTAAAATGTACGACACCAAAAGAGTGATTCACTAATACATCACGATTCGTTCACGTAAAAATGTTTGAAATAGTCATTGACTCTACGTTGTGTTGAGTCTGCTTGACAGTTGTATGCGTGTCATGAGCGCACAAGTGTTTTCTTGCATTCCCTACACGCTCTTGAAGCCGCATCTCTAGTGTTTATTGTAGCATTTATTAGACGATTTCCTGTCGCATTTTACCATCTTCACATGTTTAATGTCTAGTTTCTAATTCAATACAGTTGTTGCTCCATACTGTGTTATTTTATCTCACCTATTGCAAGTCATTCGAGTTATCCTGCGAAATGCTTTGCAGTCTCAACAAATATTAACCTTTTTTCCATAAACGTTGCATTTGTTTACATTTCAAGCACCCATAACGATAATAATAATAGTTCAATATCCTGCAAAGTTACTACACATTGATTCAAAAGTAAAAAAGTTTACTTGAGTCTATGAAGTTGTCCTCACAGGGAGAGTCACAGACTCCAAGCAGGGTGGAGGTCACAGGGTAACAAAGTCCACGCGTCGTACCTGCACGTCCTTGCGAGCGGCCTTCATCTGTCCCACGGACGCCTCCGCCTTCTTCCTCTTCTCCTCCACCGCTCGCGTCTCCTCTCCGACTCCATTCTGTGAGAGACGAAGTCACTAGAGGAGACTCCACTCCCTGAGCGACTCCCTCTCAGCCCCACCACACACGGAGCCCCCCACATTGATGGCCAGGAAGTCATCCCAGACTGATTGAAAAAGTCTAAAAGGGCAAGGGACGGTGGAGAGAGAATCAACTCATGGTGATGTTCGTTGCATGAGATGTTTCTAATAATCCCAGTGACACTGATTATTTACTTCCCATGTTGTTATGGCCAGTGAGTTGAGGTATAGTTTTTTTCTGTACCTGAGTAGCTCTCACTCCTTGAGGGCCTCACCTTACGTGTCTCGTGCTCATCCTTGAGCGTGATGACCCGATGTCCTATGTGGTCTCCTGCGATGGTGCAGTCCCTTGTTGTATGTGTTGGGTTATGAAATTTTGATAAAAATAATAAAAATTAATAATTTTCCGAAAAATGCGCAAATCGCATTAATTATGATAGTGTGTGTATTAACATGCATACATTATGATAATGCATGTAATTATATGCATAAATTATGATAATCGTAGAGATAATCGTAGTAATTTATGCGGATGCTTGCGGTTATGTTAATGTGTGCAGTTGTGATAATTAGGCTCGGTTTCGTTTATCCAGGGTTATATCAATCAGGATAACACGATTATCATCGATTAAACATTTGCTGATTATCTTAGTGTGTTTATTATTTTTAGGTCTCCAGGTTCAGATCTCATCACAGGATACAGTTGTCAAGAATAAGGCAGTTTTGCATGGACTTGGAAAGAAGCACTCGAACAGTTGGTGTTAAGCAATTTTAATTCTAAACAAGCACATGACACTCTAGTATGCGAAAGCGAGTATACGTCAATAAATTCCTGGGCAATCTTATGCAATTAACGAAACTGAATGACTAAAAATACTTCTTCATTGGCGAAATTATGCAGTTAACGAAAATGAATGACTAAAACATTTCTTATTCATGTAACTCGACGGCAGCAACTGCTTTGCACGATCAGTTGATATTGAACGCACCACCTCGAAATGGCAACCCTTTTTGAAACGCAAAGACAGTTTTTCTTTTAAAGTCTTATTCGTGTGCGTGCTGTGTGTGCGTTGTTCCCTTGTAATATTAATTAATTCTTAGAGTCGGGAGTTGTGTCGTTAGCTTGTGTGGTGTGGGAGGATACGAACAGCGGCCAGCTTCCTCTGGGTGGGGCGTGGCCGCATCGAGTCGTGCTGCTCCCTCGCTCGGCGTGTCGCTCGGCTTTTGCTCTCTCTCTCTCTCCACTGCTGGATTGAGCGGCGTTGGCACGATGTTCCTTGAAGAAACTTGCTTGCTTGGCGCTTGATGGTTCCGGGGGCTTGGTGCTGCTCGTGCGCTCTCTCTCTCTACTGCTAGATTGACGAGTTGGCACAATGCTGTCCTTGAAGATGCTCGGTCGCTCGTGTCGCTCGGTGGCGCTGGGTGGCGCTCGCGCTTTCTTGGTGGCAGCCCCCGGCTTCTCCACTGCTCGATTGATTGTTGAGTCGGCACGATGCTCGCCGCCGCTCTGGACGTCTTGTGTGTTCACACTGGTCGTTGGTCGGTGTGCCCTCAGGCACACGGTGCATTCGATGGCGCTGTCCTCTCCCTCACAGCCGTTTGACCAGGCTTCCTCCACTGCTTCGCGCTCTCTGCTTTGCACGCTTGGTCGACGCTTGGCGATCTCCGCCCTTTTACAGGTTGATTGCTTGTCGTCACTCGTCACTCTCTCTGCTCCGTGCTTCCTTTGTTCGGGCAGCTGCCAGCTTCACTCGCACTTAACTTCGTTCTGCGAGAAGCGACCTGTTATCGGCATCGGTGTTTCGTGTCCTCACGACGCTCCGCCAGCCGGAGCACGGCTGAAACCCAGCCCTGACCCAGGTTGAACTCAGACTTCTGCGACTCGAACGACCCCTCCTCGTTCCATCACTTTTCGAGGCACAACCGCCCCAGCTCTCTTGCGAGCCCCCCGTCGCAACGCTGCGTCGCAGGCCGAGTTGCGAGACCGAGCGCCCCTCGGACAGACTGCTCTCAGACTGTCACTTTAACGACGTCTCGTCGTCCCATCTCTCCTGGAGGCACGACTGCCACACCTCTCTTGCGAGCCCCGTCGCAACACCGCGTCGCAAGCCGAGTTGCGAGACTGAGCACGACTCAACCCAGACTGCTCTCAGGCTGCCACTTTAACGATGTCTCGTCGTCCCATCTCTTCTCGAGGCACGACTGCCACAGCTCCCTTGCGTGCCCCGTCGCAACGCTGAGCTCGACTCGGACTAGACTGCTCTCAGGCTGCCACTTTAACGATGTCTCGTCGTCCCATCTCTTCTCGAGGCACGACTGCCACAGCTCCCTTGCGTGCCCCGTCGCAACGCTGAGCTCGACTCGGACCAGACTGCCCGTTCGCTGTGTGTGTGCCTAACTAAAACGTGACTCCTTTCTCTCTCTCCGCGTCTCTTGCGAGAGAAAACAAACAACAAAACAGATGTCTTTGGAATGTCAGGCACCGATTCCCCCCTGTGACCTTTTTGCTCCCTCCTTGCTTGCCCTGCGTGGGTCATTCTGAGGTCAGACACTGCTGGAAGACAAAGGTGGTCGAGGAGATGTATGCGATACATTATGTGGTCCTGTGTGTTACATTTATTCTTGAGTTATATTTTAATGTCCTGAGGTTAAGTGCAACTAAGTTTCCACTTATGCTTTCTTGACTGTTGGAATTCGTAATTATTATTTTTTTTTTTGGTCAGGTAGATAGAAACATACAATACAAAAATAATATATATATACGGTGAATACGAGGAATACAAGGGAATTACTAATAAAAAAAGCCCCTATTGTTTGTTGGTTCATTCTTTCTGTTAAGTTTCTACTTTTCGGTTAGGAAAACGTTAAGAAAATGCGAAGTTTCAACCGTTATTTACTGTGCACCTTATCTGTACATCTCCAGATGTCTTGGGAGGTTTAGTCCATACATCTTTTTGTCCGTCTGGATGTCTATGACCTCTTCGTGACCGAATTCCTATCATTTCAACCGCCCTCCATGTCTCATGGACTCCCGGTGTGCCCGTGAGGAGAAGTGAGCCGTCCTCATTATTAAAAAAAATATATATATAGATATAATAAAAACAAAAAACAAAATTTTCTTAATTATTCTTAATATTAATAACGGAAAACAGGGCATAGATCCAACACCCTGCACACGAGGCTCTCGTCCTGCTTACAGAAGAACCTGTAAGGGTCTCCATGCTGTTGGCAGCTTCGCTCCTCCAGGCTGACAATGGGAGCCACCAGGACGTGGTCCATCAACTTGGGGTTTTTCAGGTGAGGCTTCAGGTGGGACTCACACAGGGACATCTCACACCTGAGGCAGGTCTTAACTGCAGGAGTCTCCCCATCATCACAGCCACCACAGAAGACAACTCCGGCCATCCTCTCTCCAACTTTGAGCTGCTCCACCAGGTTGGCAAGCGCCACGTTCCTCTTCAGCTGAGGCCGCTCAGAGAAGGCCGCTTGGCACTGCGGGCAGCTGAAGCTGCTCGCTCTCTCCCAGGAACCGTCCAGACACCGGATGCAGAACGAGTGTCCGCAGCTCAGCGTGGAGGGGCAGTCAAACGTGCCCAGGCAGATGGGGCAGCTCAGCTCACTGTCTACACAATCACTGGGAGACGCGCTCGCCATGGCCCATGGCTTCACTCGGACTCAGTCGCTCGCCGCGGCTCACAGAGGAGCTATCGCAGCAGCAGCTGCTCACACAGCGGAGTCAAATAAAGAAATGAACTTGACTTGACCTGCAGTTAAGTTATAAATACCCCGAGACACTCCCTGGAATGTTCCACAAGGCGGCCGGGTTCACTTGTATAGACGTGGAGTTACAGTCACACACTGTGTTAGCTAAACCTGCTTTTTGTGTTTAGTTTGTTGTCTTCTAGCACTTCGAATTAGCACGGTTGGCTACGTACGGTGTGGAAGAAGTTCAACATACATACATTGTTTTGACTGGTCTCAAGTGATATAATATTTGGATAAATAAACCGAGCAGCAGCCAGGGACACAGCGATGGTTTGTTCCACAGACTGGTTTGACAGGCTCGGGTAAGGATATATGCATTGCCATAGTTGAACCGCACCTTGTGCATACATTCTAACTCAGAGGATAACTTGTTTTTTTACATGTGTCTTTATCCATTTTACTTTTTAATCGTATTTTCAATGCTTATGAAGTTATATTTTAACTTTTGGCTTAATGCATCCTATGTTCATCCTGGGACAGTTTTATTTCGAATGGATGCTGGTTGAGTGAGTGGGTGGGAGGGCGTGTGGTTGGGAGGGTGGCAGGTCGTGTGGGTAGGAGGGCGCGTGGGTGGGCAATTGGATCCGGTGGTTGGCCTCACTCCAACCGTGCTAATTTATTAAAGTTTATTTTTTTACTGTACATGCGTGTCACTGATCGTGTTAAAAAAATCTCCCAGAGCAGGAACGATGAACAAGGAAAGGAACTGACTTCATCCACAGTTAAATTATTAACACCAAGAGACGTGCCCTGGAATGTTCCACACGGTGGCGCGTATTTACCTGTGTAGACGTGGCGTTACATCCACACACCGTTTTAGGGTTTAATAATCGCAGTTGATAATATTTATTCAAAACCCCACGGTAACCAGGGAAACAGTGATGGTTTTTCCCACAAGCTGGTTTCACCGGCGACTGTGAGGCTGTTTATACAGCAAAAAGCATCTGCTAAGACATATACTTTCAAGCTTAAACTAAATGTTGCTTGTTTCAATGTATTTTACACGCTTTTATTTAAATCACTCTGTTGTTGTTGTCGTATCCTCAAATATTGTAACTCAATTTTAACCCACTTCCCAATGTGGTATAGACTGCAAACTTTGTATACTTATGTCATACTGATGACAATACTATATTCTATCATAAAAAAAAATATTTAACTATATTTTTTATATATTATGATTCGGCTCGGGTGTAATTGTCCACGCTCTACTGACGTTGGCTGTAAATCACCTTACATTATGGCAAGCTTCAGGGCCACTTCCTGGAGTCGTGGAGTTTTGTCATTACTCGTACGGTACATTTCATTAAAGCGTGTTTTAAAAAAAGTATTTTAAATATTACTTATTTTACTTTTTTGTACAAGTGTAGTGGGTTCGACGTAGACACACACTAGAACTTGGATGAAACACGTTTATTATAATAGGCCATCCCATCCCCACCCCTGGTTTATTATCCAACGAGCGAGTGACCACGAGGGGACGGCGCGCGTCACCCCGTAGCGTCACGTGACGCGTGTTCCCAGCACGCCCGCGGTGGAGCTCCGCCCTCTCGGCGTTGAGCGCCACGCGGCGCGGCGCGAGGGACGGTGACGTCAGAGAGAAGCTTGGCTCCCCCCGCCCTCCCCCACCAGTGCGCTAACCACTGCACCACCGCTCCACCCCACACTAGGCACATGGCTCTCTATACACTAAAGACAAAGATACCCCGTGTAGCCTTAACAGACTGTTGGGGCAAGTGCTGTTAGGAGCGAGTAGCAACTATGAAGGCCGGCACTGTTATACACGAGGGGATGGGTGGCCAGCACCATACCCAGACAAAAACACGCACAGACACAAAAACGCAGACACAATAACAAAGACACACACAAAAACACACACACAAACCCACTCACCAAACGACAAAGATCCCCTGTATCGCCTTAAAATTCTGTTGGGGCAAGTGCTGTTAGCTACCACCTATGAAGGCCGCCACAGCACACGAGGGGGTTAGTGGCCAGCACCACGACCAACCGCCTTTGTCGCCCCAGTGGCGATGTTCACACACCGCAGCAGGTTCCCATTTGAAGATGAGTCGACCTAGGGGAGACCCAAGACCGATTCAAATAATCGCATTCAATGGTGTTTGTAAACCGGTCATGGACCTCCCCTAGGTCGACTCAGCCTCAAATTAGTTTCTGGTTCGGTGTGTAAACGTCACCACTGGGAAGACAAAGGCGGCCGGGCGTGTTGTTGCGAGAGAACCCCTCGTTCGCTAACAGCACTTGCCCCTACAGCCTGTTAAAGCTACACGGGAGATCTGTGTCTTTGTGTGCGTGAGTCTGTGCTTTGTGCCCTTTCTCTGCGCTGTTCACACTCCGTGCTCTCAGCCACCGTGGTACCCGTCACCCCCCCCCGCCCCCGTTTTTTTATTTCTGCATCCACGTTAAGTGTCGATACGGCTATAAGGTTTTAGACGATAAGGATTTTTTTTATTTTGTTAAAGTTTCTATTTTATATCCTCGGTCAACTGCGATTGTCACGTTTCCGTGCAATATCCACTTCGTGCTGTAGCTGCCCCGCAGTGATAATACGCGAATGTGTGAACACGCACTCGCTTAGCTACTCAGCGGTGTGAGTTCCACTCTCTCATTTAGATACAAACACAGACGCATTGATAACTCATCCATCTATTATAATACAAGTGCGGAGTTCGTGTGTGCGTGTGTCACGGTAACGATCACTTGTTCCCGCCTATTGATTGGCCAAAACAACATTTACAATCGGGGATGTTTGCACGAAAGAAAGTCAAAATACAATAACATGTTTAAACTATACTTTAAAGTTTAATTACAATTGAATAAAATAATAATTTGTCCACGATGACCCACGGAGAGAGAAACCATTACCAACCACAGGGGTGATTCTATTCCATTATTTAACAATGTTACGACTAAAATTTTACCATATTCCGTCGATTCAATTTGTAATTTGTTAATCATTGTAGAATAACAGTTGAAGTTATTTTATAATTACGTGTCTTGTTTTTTATGTTTTAAAGTAAAATTCAATGCGATATTGTTGGTATCCCCCCCCCCCCGCTGAGTGAGTGGTACATTCCGAACAGCCCAACAGCTACGGTGAGCAATGTGGATCAAAGCAGATGCCGGTAACGCGATTTGTTATTATCACAGATATTAATTTGGCATCTTTGGACTGACGTACATCAGAATCGGAATATTTATACTGCAGGAGGAATCCGATGACCTGCAAAGCTCTTTGTAACAGATGTCCAGTAGGAGCACGGGGTAAGAACGTTACAACAACAAACAGTACACAAACATAATAGTAGCGCAAGTACAAGGAAAGTTAACACATCACCATAACACATCCACAGTAGTTTAACACGTAAAGCCTTCGCGACCAATATCCATTATATACAGTTTTATTCGGATTTCTTACTTGATGCAGCAGTCGTGCTGTGACGGTTCCACCTGAAGACGGAAGCTTGTGTTGCCTCCGAAACGTCGTGATTTTTATTTTATTTCACTTTTATTAACTTTAATTTTTTACCTACGTGACTTTACCGAAAAAACCTAAGAATACGAATCCTTGCAGTCACGAAAGCTTCAAATCTAGAACACCTAACAGTAGTTTAACACGTAAAGCTTTCGCGACCAATATCCATTACACAGTTTTATTGGTGGTTAACCATCTAACCCAAACAACCTCCATTCTGGACATCTACAGTATATATAAATATAAAAGTTAGTAGTTCCCTGCGTCTTGTTGACATTCGGGCGATTGCCAAAAAGTGTTTTGCTTTATCCACCGCTTTCTTTGTTGTCGGAGTGCAGCGACAACTTCGCCTTGGCTCCGTGTCGCCATGGACTGCGTCTGTAGCGCGTTGTGCCGAACGGCGTGCGGGTGGTGCAGCTCGTTGACGCATAGCTACTGCTGCTGCTGTTGTTGTTGTACAACATTAATGGTTGACGCCTCATCAATGTCTCTTTAAATTCACTACGCGCGATTTATCACCGATGTGACTTTTTACTTTGACGACAGACGCTTCTCATCGTTCTTGATTTGAAGCCTTCGTGACTGCAGGAATCCATACTCTTTGATTGTTTCGGTAAAAAAAATATCTACGTGACTTTACCAAAAGAACCAGGAATATAAAATATATTGTTCAATGTTTAAAATCGTCAATACCTAAACAAAAGAAGTCTTCATTACCTATTCTTGTCAATGTCAACATTTTACATCCTTTACTCTGGCTGATTGGCAAATTCTATTTAAAATATTTCTTTATATTTTACCAGGTAAGATCCAATGAGCTATGTAGCTCTTTCTTTAAGCGACCTAGCCACGATTGAAAGCTCAAAAAGTGGCTTTTCGCGTGGATATTTTTTCAGCCAAAAACTTTAAACGCGTGACGTTGATTCTAAATGTCGAGGGGAAACCAGAGGAAGCAGAAAAAAATCCACGGGACCACGGCGAGAGAGACACGCAAACTACAAATATACAGCAGCAGGCGTCAGGGTTGGAATGGAACCCACGACCTCCTGTATACCAGGCAAGGTAGTTAACATCTCCTAGCCAAAGAAGCGATATGTAAAAAGCACGGAGCAGCCACGACGAACAAGGAAACGATCTGACTTCACCTGCAGTTAAAATATGAACACCACTAGACTCGCCCTGGAATGTTCCCCGCGGCAGCCCGTGCTCACCTGTGTAGACGTGGCGTTACATTTGTAATGTAGCTCTCAGAGACACCGTCTTATTCTTCATGTATATTTATTATGAATAAAGTCTGATGACAACTTAACGAGTAACCGCAAGTGACGATATACACTTGGGTAATTAGACGACTCTATTCTGAGACAATGTAATTCTAGCCTCAAGACTACTCAGAGACGATGGAGACGACGGCCATTCCCCACAACAACAACAGCTCCCAGGTCCGGTT